GTTTGTCTATAGTTTGTTAGCATTAACATATTTACGCGTTTTCTATTTTTTTAGTTTTTATTTTTTTGTGTTTTTATGTATCGCATATGACATTACCAGATGAATGTGTCGATCACCCAAAGAAATCTGACGAGTTTTGCGAAAAATCTACTGATTGTGCGGGAGTCCCTAATACAACCTATATGACTAATAAAAGTGCAAATTACCATGCAACGACTTGATCAATTCGTCAGAAGCGTGAAGTATAGAATTGGCAAAGATACTTTAACTTTAAAGAACTTAGAGATTTTATATGTTTTATTTATTGAAGAGTGATTTACCAAAAAGTTCTTATTAGCTTACAGCGGAGAAACAAAGCTATTTTTATAGCTTTTACTTCTCTAAGAAGCGCAAGGGTCTTGGAATATTAATTTCCTTCCATACACAGCCTGATCACATTGAAATATTCCAATTTGTCCAAATAAAAGAGGCTTTAACTAACAAGATGTTTTATTATCCTATTGTGACGGAAGACAACAAAATAAGTTTCGTCTATGATGTTATTATGAAAAGCAACAACCACTAATATTATATTTTGTCTTTCCTCAGCATAATTCTTTACGCATGCTAGTTTTTCGGATGTTTAGGGTTCCGCGCTTGTTTATTGAGGCTGTTATCGCAATTCGGACGACAAACCTTACAACCCAAAAGCAAACCTCGATTGTGGTGGCGCTTTCTATTCTCTATTCACGGGATTTTGGCACGAATATACTTTGTTTTCTTAAAAGTTTCGGGCATATTACTTTTACCTATGACACGATATATCAGCTTCAGATTTTACGTAATGTATAACTGCAAATTAGTTTTTTTGTATAGTCAAGAAGCACGATAAAAATGGTTAATTGTATCTTTATTTTTCATGGCTGCATTGATTCGTCAACAGTTTCATCAGGTATATAAATTGATGGAACCTTTTGCTAATTCAAAATGGCTTCATTAAGCATCTTTAATGCTATTACATCCATTTTGCAATTAAAGAATAAAATGCAAGTTCATAGGCGTACGGGGCTTCAGGTTTTGCGATGGGAAGTATAACAATAATTTTCTTTTTTCTTTGGTTTTATTTGTTTTTTTTTTCTTTCA